GGGGGGGGGGGGGGGGGGGGGTGCTTACTATCCTTACTTGCAGCTGAGAGCTAAGCTGAATTACGAAGGACACGGCTCAACCTGATCGAGTGGAAGGCTTTCTAAGGGCGCCTCTGGTAGCCACCTTAAGACTCATGTCTGATCAGGGAGCACAGCTACGATGGAAGGGTTAGTTTAGGGCTAATCCCAGCTTAGAAGTTAGGGGCTAATCCCAACCAATCCGGTCAACATTCCCTGTGGAGCTGAGATGAAATGTGCAGCCACGATGAATAATATGTAATGAAGTTGAGACAAAGGATTTGTGTACTGTGAGGTGCAGTTCAACATCAAACAAAGCTCTTCTATTTTGTAGCTTCGAAGACCATCATATCTTCACAGACTATGTTTAATATATTTTACCACTATTACTTGGAAAATAACACTTTCATAACAGCATATTCGCCGGGTTTCCTATGTTACCACATTTTGCGCTTTTTAAACTCCCACTCCCTACAATCATTGTGTCATGGTGAATTGCCAAAAAAAAATTTTATTTGTCAATGGCCATTAACATTGCAGTGTTTTTTAGTTCAAAGTTAGCATATTTCAATGCCCTCTCATTCAATTCTCTATCCAGAACAGTGTACTCGTAGACTGCGCACCTCCGTCACCGAATTAATATGCATCAATTAGATAATTACGCATTCGATTTACTCTGCCCGGCAAAGCAAGACAAACTTTTTCACATTTCTCATCCAATTTTCATCCAAATTTAACCAAAATTTAATCAATTTCTCCGCGGGCGATCCCATTAGTCGTACAAAGTTATCATGCCGACAGACAGACAAATCTTTATTTAAATTCGGTGAACTCTTCAGTGATACCACTGCTTGACAAGAGGGCCGACATTATATTAAAAATAGCTATATACAATTTTAGGCATGAGATGAGATACATTTTTTGAAGATTTGTAAACTATTGCTACATTTTACTTTTTCTGGTAGTTCGTTCCAAACTTTTGCTCCAGAAAAGACAAAACTTTTCTTTAGGAATTCTGTTTGTGCTCTTGGCAAAATTAGACATAGTTATCTATTTCTAAGAGAATATGTTGGTCCGTGAAAGACATTTTAAAATGGTCACGTATTAAAGTAGACAGGAACCATATTATTTAATATTTTATACATCATTATGAGTTTATGACTATTTCTTATTTCGGAAAGTGTTTCCATTTCAATTGACTTCTAATATCATTAGATCTTACTTCATAACCCTGACAAGTGATAACTCTTGCTGCACGATTTTGCAGTTTTTGGAGTCGTTGAGCAAGTGTGATTGACATGTTATCCAAAACAACATCACAATAGTCAAATACTGGTTAAATTAGTGAATTATATATTGTAAGTAATGTTGAAAGGGTAACAAACTCTCTCACTTGCCGAAGACCGGAAATTCCGGAGCATATGGTCTTACAGATTTTATCAATATGATCTCTCCATGACAATCTTTCGTCAATAAATATCCCTAGTGATTTTGATACTTTAACTCTTCTTATGGGTTTTCCACCCAAAACTAAATACGGTATTATTTATGATAAACAGTCTGGATTTAGGCCAGTTCACTCCACCACAAGCGCACTTTTGGACGCAACTACAGAATGGCTAAGCAATATGGATAAAGGTCAATTGAATTCTGTTCTGTTTCTTGATTTGGCCAAGGCATTTGATACGGTGATCATGAGATTTTGTTGAGCAACTCCATTTATGGAGTTGATTCAATGAGTCTCAATTGGTTTAAATCGTATCTATTTGACCGAAAACAAAAATGTAATGTAAATGGTCTAATATCAAGTGAGCGCTCGTTGCTATGTGGGGTACCTCAAGGATCTATTCTTGGTCCTTTGCTGTTTCTTGTTTACATTAATGACCTTCCTTCTTGTCTGCAACATTCTACAGCACGAATGTATACGGATGATACAAATATAACTACAACTGGAAAGTCGATAAAGGAAATAGCATCTGAAGCCAATACAGATCTTGAAAATATTTGCATATGGCTCAAAGCAAATAAACTTACCCTGAATGTTACCAAAACGGAGTATATGTTCATTGCGTCTGACAGTAATCTTGACAAACTGCGGGACAGGCCATTTTCATTAAGGTATGCTTGCAACTGGTCATAAACAATTCGTTCAAAGATTTTGCTCACAGCACTTAGAATAGAGATTGGTCTGTAATTATTTAAAAGATCTTTTGCATCTCCTTTATGAAGTGGCTTAACTTTTGCAATTTTCCAATCATCTGGAAATACACCAGTTGCTATTGAGCAGTTAAATAAGTTGCATAATGAGTCTGATATCACTGACGCGCACATTTTAACAATTTAGCCGGAATCTCATCAAGACCCATTGTTTTTCCTTCCTGCAATGAAGAGAGTAACTTAAAAACAGCACTTGGTGTTGTCAAATCTAACGCGAAAACCGTATCCGCTTGTTTTAAATAATCACCAAAACCGCAATTATTTAATTCATCCGGTTTATCAGGTCTCAATTTCAACCCAATTTCTGCAAAATGATTACTAAAACACTGTTAAGTCAGCTGAGTCACTGATCACTCTATCATTGCACGTAAGATGAGAGATCTCGTCTGACTTAGCATTACGAGACATCAGCTCATTGATTGATTTCCAAATTTCTTTTGGATTTCCTGAATTTGTTTTAAAATATTGATGGTAATAATCGGTTTTTGCTTGTCTAATTTTATTATTGCACGTATTTCTCGCATCGTTGAATTTTTCCAGTCAGCTGGATTTTTTGACACCACCGCTAATTTCTTAAGTTTGTCTCTTTGCAAAAATAATTGTTTTCGATTTGCATTCATCCAGGGACTTTTTTATTTCTAAGCCGTTTACGTTTTAATGAAGCGTGATTATCAACAACATTCATAAACATCGATTTCCAAAATTCCCATCGGTCATTTGCATTTTCAAGATTATCAACAAGTGACCATGGTAAATTGGTTAATTCATTTTTGAATCTATCAACGTTAAGGGTTGAAGTTTTTCATGGATCTCATATTAACAACGCGATGCCTGCTCTTAGTTTTGATAGCGACTTTGCGCACAACGTAAACCAAACTATGATCGCTTATGCCCAAGTGTAGAACACCTGATGTAACGACTCTTTCTGGGGTGTTTGTAAGAATCATGTCAATTAAGGTTTGGCTATTTTCATTACACCTGGTGGGCTCTTTGATAAGTTGTTCAAGCTGAAATAATTCAGAAAATGAGTTTAATAACGTTATGGGTCGACGACTCCTTTCGGAAAGCAGACCACAATTTAAATCTCCTAATAAATATGTTTCTCTTTGTTCATTGTCAAGTAAATTAAAAATACTAGTCATATGATCAAAAAACATATCCAGACAGACAGACAGATCAAACAACATATCCAGACAGACAGACAAACAAACAAACAAACAAACAAACAAACAAACAAACAAACAAACAAAACAAACAAACAAACAAACAAACAAACAAACAAACAAACAAACAAAACAAACAAACAAACAAACAAACAAACAAACAAACAAACAAACAAACAAACAAACAAACAAACAAACAAAACAAACAAACAAACAAACAAACAAACAAACAAACAAACAAACAAACAAACAAACAAACAAACAAACAAACAAACAAACAAACAAACAAACAAACAAACAAACAAACAAACAAACAGACAAACAGACAAACAGACAAACAGACAAACAGACAAACAGACAAACAGACAAACAGACAAACAGACAAACAGACAAACAGACAAACAGACAAACAGCCAAACAGACAAACAGACAAACAGACAAACAGACAAACAGACAAACAGACAAACAGACAAACAGACAAACAGACAAACAGACAAACAGACAAACAGACAAACAGACAAACAGACAAACAGACAAACAAACAAACAGACAAACAGACAAACAAACAAACAAACAAACAAACAAACAAACAAACAAACAAACAAACAAACAAACAAACAAACAAACAAACAAACAAACAAACAAACAAACAAACAAACAAACAAACAAATGAACGAACGAAATGAACGAAATGAACAAAATGAACAAAATAAACAAATGAACAAAATGAACAAACGAAATGAAACGGAACGAAACAAAAAGAAACACAACTAAGGACACTTGATATATTAAATTTTTAGACAACTACGATTAAAACTAAAGCTGCATGTTTACGTCCTGTGGTGGTTCCTAAACCCACATCACCAGGAACATCGCCAAGAACATCACCAAGCACATCACCAGGAACATCGCCAAGAACATCACCAAGCACATCACCAAGAACATCACGTAGTGATATCACAAGCAGTGGCGGACTGAAAACTCTTTATATTGTTCTTATTGCTCTTGCTGGGTAAGGTTATGCAATTTTCTCTATGCTCTGGATTAGGTTTATTACTATAGTTAATCTACAATCTTTTATGTCCAAGATTGTAAGAAAACTATATATTTTAGACGTAACAACAAGCAAAATTCATGCATATATATTTTAGGATGTGACAAGTTCAAATAGGGATTATATTGCTTGTTTTTCATGCAAACAAATATATATTGCTCGAAAAACAAGTATCAGACTACTGGAGTGGAACAAAATTAAAAAAGATTGAATTATCACGCACTATTAAATTCAGTGTATTTCAGACAGTCTTGGACAAAACCCTTGAGACCATTCCAGCCAATATTACAAAGTTATTGAACATTGACAAAACAAATTTTGTCTCCCCCTCCCCTCCAGTTCAATGTTGTGAACAACGCCGAAACAACTTTTGGTAATATACCATAACACAACCTCAACATTGAGTTGGGGGAGCGGGGACTTAAGAAGGGCAACATGATTCAACATGGAGTTTATCATAAAAATACTATGCGAATTTTCTATAGGGGGAAAATAGTCTCAACCAGTTATGTCCAAGATTGTACATTGTGCTAAACTGTGTTTCATTTGCCGTTGTTTCGTTATAAAAAATCAATATACACCAATCCTAAAATGGGGGGGGGGGGATATTCATTGCAATTTTTGTTCATTTTTGTTTCAAATATTCATATTCCTACCCTTAATATTGATATTTCTACTATCAATTTTTAATATTCAATATTCATTGTCCACCCCCAAAGGCTACAAGCAAGCCATCTCCTAATTTATTCCATCACGTTTGTAAAATTTTGTAATCTTCGGATTGTGTTTTGCTGGGGTTTTTTTTAAATTGTCAGCTGTTATTGGAATTTGGTACATGCTTTTAACTTCTTTGCGCTTCACAATTTGCTGTAGATTTGCTATTGCTATTGGTTCCTGTGTTGCTTACAAGATGCTCATGAAACGAAAGCGAGGTTTACTCATTGAAAAAGAAGAGAATGAAGATTATGGAACTGTCCCCCGAGCTCACGTCCAGCTGGTTTGTTGAGCATTTTTAATATCTTCTCTCTCTATAGGGTCGACTGCATTGTAGTTTGGAAATTTGTTTGAGAACTAATTTTTTATTTTGTGTTTTCAACTTGTACAGAATGCCGTTTCGGCACCGGTATCTGGACCAGTTTAATGAAGTAATTCACTCGTATGACAAAAACATCATGGAAAATTCGACAAATCCACACTCAATGGCGGCTTATTTGAGAAACAAACTATGACAGCAAGAAATGCCTACAGCATCCATTATTAGAAACACTCAGGAATATGCTGGAAACTCAGGAATCTACAATGGAAACTTTAAATCTACGTTTTAAACAATAAAATTTATTATTCAAAGTGATTAATTAACAAGTTGCGACTGAGCTACGTATGAACAAGTGTTTACACATTATTTTGTCATTTGTCAATTCTCTGTATTTTTTGGGTGCTATCAGTTTAAATCCGATATCATTTGCTTGAGGATTTAGACTGTATTTACTTTGGTTGGCGTGATCGTAACTTCTGGGGTTTTTTCAAAATGACTGTAAAATTTTTTGGGCGGTAGATTGCTGATAATTTAATTTGTAAATTAAATAATTCCCTGGCGTAGTTAATAGTTAGGAGATAGTTACGAGTTAAGAGATAGTTACGAGAATGCCACTATACTTTGACCAGAGGTTTATTGTCAGCTGGAATTCTGGGTGAAATTTGAGGAGGATTATAAATATTTAAATTTTGATGGGCGAATGTTTTGGGAATTAAATTAAAATCAATTCAACATAAGACAGAATTTTCATTTAGCAATTTGTAACTTAACTCGAGACTCCCATATATATATATAGCCAGTGATAGATTGGTCGTATTCCAGTAGTGCTATTGCTATATTGTAACAGTTCTTTGGTTTAAAACCACAAGATAATTTAAAAGTTAAAACACTACTGAAATCTTCATCAATATTAAAATCGTTGTGTGGCTTGTGTTAACTAAAGAAAACAGTTAATATTGTTCATCCTCACCCGTTTATTCCATGCTATTATGGTATGTTACGCGAAAAAAGGTATCATGACTCCATTGCCAGAGGTTGCAGCAATAATTGCCTCGTGTTTTATGATCTCACAGCATCGACACGGTTCAGTGACTCGTCTAGCATCGTAATTAACGCATATAGGCATAGCAATGAGCGAGTATGTGTTTGTCGAGTTTAGTTGTAAATGGATTCTGTACTGATATTGTCGTTCTTTACCTATGTGTATTGATTTCATCTTCACACATTCCCGAAGCAGTAGCTGAGGTGATCTGTATCAGAGCAAACAATTCACGTTGTAAATTCTATTGTGGTCAAGACGTACTGGATCTATCTGATATTGATGGCAGCTCTGTACAGCCGAGGTAACTTAATGTCTTAACAATTAATGTCATCAGCATTGCCATTGTTTAAATTGGTTTACTTTACTTTTCATTTTTTGTATTTATTGATTGTTGAAAGCTGTAGGATGACAGTACGTTTCAAAAATGTCAGTTTAAGCCTTCCAATGTACTGTTCTGATATACTAAATCTCATACTAAATAACTCATCTACTCATTGTTATGGTAGTTTATAGCCATGTGTTGTCTGTATAAATTATATATTTAGATATTCAGACTCAGTTCGATTTGGTCGCAGCTACAATTTGTTGTGACCAAGTTGTATTCAATGATAGATGCTGTGTTGTACGTGCAAATCTGTCTTCTCTGATTGTATAGATGGCGATACCGCCGATACTCTAAAATCTGTCACGACTAAGATGGGAAATCGTACAGCCAGCTGTGCGAATTATTGGAGTGTCATGCGTCTCGCATGAATGCGAGGATACATGCAATCGTGCAAATTTGACGCCATTTAATATAATATAATAATTATATTTATCCAGGATACCCACTCACATACGTATACGTGTTTTTCAGTGGGGTCCTGCATCAAAAACAATATAAAAAGGACAGGGACGTGCCGAGCAATTTCTGGTTGGGGGGGGACTCAAAAGTTTGGGCCTCCTTCCTTTCGGGGGTGGGAGTTCGACGTTTTCTTGCGAAAATAAAACGTCCCAAAAAATTTTCCAAGGATAATGGGGGGTTAAAAGTACGTTTTTCAGAGCTTTTTCGACCTCAATTTTTCACAATATTCCTTAATATTTAACACGTTCCGCAATTCCAGCATTTTGGGCCCCCCTTTGGGGAAATTGGGCCCCCTTCCCTGACTTTTCTTTGGGGGCTGTTACATGCACCCAGTAGTTACGGCCCTGAAAAAGGATAACTAGCAATTAGTATACGACCATACTGTAAATCTGATTCATCAAAGTATACTAATTTAGTTAGTAAGTGTGAAACATGCCTCGAACAGTCCGGAAAGAATCGATTGTTAGTTGAAACCCGATAACAGTGAGAAATTTGCAATATACTGTACATTGCTTAAGAATAATATGACGTTGAGGCACAATGCGCGCCGGCGTACGAGACAGGGGGCAGGGAGGCAATGGAGATTCTGGAAAATGCTAGGGAAAATGAAGAAAAAACGGACAAATATATCACAAAATACATTTCATTTCAATATTTCGAAATTTCAAGTGCCCCCCCCCCCCTGGAAGGTATCAAGCCCCTACGCAACCTCGTTCCCAGGGTCTCTCCTTCTGTCCTTTGGCCCCTACGCTTATGCGCACCTGCACACTGAAATGTATATTTAATATATCAAGCATGCAATAACTACGAACGAGGTAGATTTAAAAGGGTCTTAAATTGAGTGAGAGAACTAGCGTTTTTTAGCAGAACTGTCGAAATTGTTCAAGACGTACTTTGAAGCGTATAATACTGAAGTTGGTATAAGTTTACCCCAGGTCGTGTTGGCTTTTGGAAGATAAAGTTGTTGCGGGATCATGTATTGTATGAATGAATACTGTTGTTAGTTTGAAGTCAAAATCAATTAGCCCCGGATTAAACGTCGCTGTTCTCATGCCCCGACGTTTGATTTTAGTTAAGTTCGGCAGAATCTGGATTAGGTGCGACAGAGACAATAGGAGGGATAGGTCAAGTCGCACTATGCGACTTTGGAGCGACAGCAAGTCAAACGTCGATCTGCTCATTGCTCCGAACCTAATCCATAAATTATTTCAATACTTTTTTATGTCATTTATTTACATGTATTTTATATATTTTTTGTTAAAACATGATTCATATTGGGAGCGATGTGTTGAGTTCGACGTTTAATTTAGCACCGCTCCAATGTCGCTCCAATGTCGCTCCAGTGTCGAATCGAATTGTATAATTAGGTTCGGCGCATGAAAAGCGCGACGTTTGATCCGAGCGTATAGTCCATTGGTATACTTAACATTTGTAGATGAGGACAGGGACGTCGCCAAGCCATCAACATTGGGGGGGGGGGAGGTGTCGTCATGTTTTGACCAACATGCATTTCCTAGGATTTTGACCAAGTCGTAACAATTTTCGTAACAAAAATGTTGTCGACGGGGGGAGGTCAAAAAAATTTTCCGGACTAACATAAGCATAGTCGAAAAAATTTTTCCCAACCAACATAAGCAAATTCAAAATTTTTCGGCCAAAATGACCAAAACTTCCAATTTTTTCATAGCAAACGTAACAAAAACTTTAAAATTGTTAAAATTGCCAACCATTTCATAACTTTGGGCAACTTCGACCATCTTTTATCCCAAACTTTACCAATTTTTTTCCCAGTTTTACCTTAAATTTTAAGCAAATATTAGTTCCATTCTGACAAACTTTGGGCAAATATCACTTCCATTTTGACCAACTTTGAGCAACGTTTGACCAACCTATAGCGACGTCCCTGGATGAGGATACAACGATTTTTATCAGTATCTGCGGGAAGTAACGTTGAAGGGTAGCGAGAGCCCTGGTTGCCGAGGAGAAAGGAGGAAGATCTAGAATATAATTTAGCGGCTCTATTATTTTATTCTAAGGTTTGTAGAGAGTTCATGAATCCAGGCGTTGTTCACCTGTTCTTGTCACCACAAATGATATCTGCGTAGTCGAATAGAGGTGGAATTGTAGCGGTATAGTCTATAGAAAGCTAAAGTGATAGTAGTGATAGTATTGATAGTATTGAATTGATAATACATTTCAAATGTCCCGAATGATGTCAGAATAATTTTGGTAGTTCAATATTAGAGCTATAGGATTGGGATTAATTTGAGTTGGAGTTGTAAGGATTGGTCCCAGGGGCACGATTTCTCCATATATTCTCCGATCCGAGTTGACGTCATCAATTGTTCATCTCCGTCACATATCTACATATCTTTGCCGAAAATAAACCACAGAATTGAACTCGTCATGCTCAAATTAGCCCATCAATTCCATGATGTTTGGACATTCAGAGCGCGAGTTGCGGCGTTTTGAAAATTTTGTTTTTACTATATACATTTGTAATTCCATACAGCGGCATTGCATACAAATGTATAGTAAATTCCATTTCTGCCACTGAATATGAAGATAAAAAGTCGATAAAACGCGAACTCGGATCGGAGAATATCGGCAGTCTTGGCAGAAAGTTTCCAAGTTACATATTCACTTTATATAGTTTTACGAACATACCAGATAGTCGAGGTGCACCAGTTTTCTACCAGTGGAGTCCATGCACAAAATTTTTGAAGAATTGCAGTGTTCCAGTTAACGTAAGTGTGTTACATTCTTAGACGTCCATTGACACACGCACCGGGCTGTTAAAGCAACACAACGTGGTTTACAGATGTCCGAAAGAAGATAAATTTAAATTTGTTCTTGGTACCATCTTTTTAAAATGTTAAACTCTTCAACAATGTCGTTTCAAAAAGTGAAAAACCACACCCCATTGCCATATTGTATTCGGTATGTGCAGCCTGTAAACACTGCCTTCCTCTTCGCGTCCTTGCCAAAGTAATAATTCCAAAAAAAATTAATATAATGTATGGGTTGATTTCACAATTTTCATGAATATAACTGATGAGACTATACTTTTATCTTATATTTAAAAATTTCATTAATAATTCACGAGGAAAATACAAAAGAAATGAATGTTTAATCAATGTTTGTAAATCGGATAAAGATTTGTCCTGATTTACATAACCTTCAGCTTTGATTTTCTCGGCTTAGACAATGTTTATTTTT